ATCTCCAAACCCCAAAGCCACAGAAACTTGAAATTTTCAAAGTGGACGCTGAGAAAAGATAGAAAAGCAGCTATCCAAACACCGGGTTTCTAGCTTTAAAAATGTTCAGTGTAGAGCAGAAAGAACTAACTTGGGGGATGGCAACCCTCCCCCCAGGTGCGGGCGAGGGTTAAGCCTCACACTTTCTGGGGTATTGGTTAGATTCCTTGCGCAATACTGTGCCATTAAATTCTTTTTTCTATAATAAAGACATTTTGTTTTATCGTCGAAAGTAAAGAAGCCAGAAATTTGCATCGATTTCGGACGCCGCGGGGGATATTTACATACAATGTCACCCTGCTGGCCTGGATCCACCAGTATGGGTCAGGTGAACTACCATTTCTTTATTAACCCGCGCCCTGCTGGGGGGTGTTTGAACACCCCCAACATCATACCTCAATTCTACACATGTTACGAACATTTCAGACCAAGGTCATTCAAGGTCAGGTCACCAGGTCACTTGAAGTGACCTCATCTCATAAAAAGTTTCAATGTCTGTCATAGCTACACCCAGTGACCGATCGTTTTGAAACTTTCAGCGAATGCTAAGAGCAATAGCATGTAAAAAATGTATATCTCAGAATTTTGATATCGATGACCTAAGGTCAGGTCAATTTTGCGACCTCCCCATTATCAGTCAATGGGAGAAAATTGAAATGCGCCTCTTTTGGATGAAAGACATTATAAACACTCCCAAACACCGAATTACAAGTGGTTTAGACACACTGAACATGAAAATGGTGTCCGTGACCCTTGTTTATGCCCTGAGGTCATCTTAGGTCACGAATGGTATCTAACAGTTTTTCGCAAATACCTTTTGATAGAGGCATACTAGAGCGATGAAAACGCCTTAGATGTGTTCAGCTCGACGATAAGGATCGACTGATGTGCAACATGACCCTTTCCGGTCAGGTCATGACCTTGACCTGAGGTCAAATTTTTAAGTTGACCTTTCAAGGTCAAGTTAAAGTTCATTCGATGCGTCTTGACGAGAGGAACACGATGCCGGTAAAAGTAAGCTCGTACAAGGCTTGGGTCAAATGTTATTGCAGAAAAACTGTTTCCGAAAAAAATCGGCTATTTTTGCAGTTTTTGCCCCCCTGCAGGCAAAACCGTTGACGTTAGGTCAAATCTGAGAGAATTGCTCAGAAAGGGTGTTATTAGGGCTATCGAATGCGCTTTTCCGCGGCGCTGTAGGTCTATTGGTTCCCGAGTTATGCGTTGGCTTCTTGGAAGTTTTCGACATTCGACCTGGAAATCGGCGAAATTTTGCCTTCAATGACCTCTGGTGACCTGACCTTTGACCTGACCAAAAAATTGACCGAAGTGATTTCGTCATTATTTTTTACGCTCTTTCGAACGCCGCCTTCCGCGTATCGCTACGTGGCCCAGGAGCCGAGTTACAAGGGGGGGGGGGTGTTCAAACACACCCCCCGCAGCAGGGCGTGGAAATCCAGGACCCCCAGCAGGGCGCGGGTTAATATTAAAAAAAAAATTCATGGCATCCAGGCTGTGACGAAAAATAAGTGGCCTAAATCCGATGATAAAACTGGATTTGGGGGTACCCTAGGTTTGGCTTCTGAGCCTCTGGTCCCCCAGTGAAAATTTCTTAGAGGAGGCCCTGGCGTGGCTCGTAAATTACCGCTTCCGCAATTGGAGGCCCCTAATTGCTTGGAGGCCCCCACTAAATGGAGGCCCTCATGGACGTTTGGGACCCCAATGGTGATGTCAAAGTTTCACCCATGGTTACATTGGCCAAACAACAACTAACATCAGCAGACGCGTGACAATGCACCTGCAGCATGGCGGCATCTTGACCCACAACGACAGCCAGCACCCAAATGACCGACTAACCAGAAAAGACATCACAGAAAACTTGACGATATTGAAACAGGTGAACGATTCTCGACGACTAACCGTGTTTCAAGCGATTTACATTCGCAAGATGGACCCCGCAAGTAACCGACAAGTTAATGCCAGCGGTGTACCTACTACTGTTATATGACCCCCGTATGACCCGTATAATTCGACAGTATCAGCGATGTCATAGATCACCTGGGCTGGCTCAGCGTAGACAGCATGTTCAGGTATCATAACATGACTGTGCTGAACAAGATATTAACGACTTCCGAACCACAACACCTGGCCCAAAACCTAGTTACCAGGCGCAGCGTAAGTGATAGGGAAACACGACAGAGTGAGTTACTTGCCATTCCCGCCATTCGATCTGAGTCGGGACGGCGTCGCTTCATGTTCACTGCGGTACAATGAGCTGTCGGTCAGTCGTCGTGGTCTGAGTCATTCAGCGTTTAAGCGTAAACTGAGGGACCATCTCCGGCAGTTAGAGCGCGCCGACTGAAATCCCTGATGCGGTGCGACTCTATGATTGTATCTTGGTACGTATGAGTGCATGTTTGAGATCAGTATTCTTCATTACACAACTGACTCGAGGCATGGAATAGCCACTGCATGCGGTGGAATTGCCTCACGATGTGAAATAAATAAATAACTAAATAGACCCCCTAGAGCAGCACTATAGGGTCCGTTAGCGCACGTGACCGAGAAGCTAATATTCAAACGATTTTGTCCTTTTCCTGATACATTCATGATGCTCTGTGCCTTTGCAAAATGTAAAATGTAAAATACTCAACATGTAGTTCATTATATTTATATATACTTAACCTTGCATCATGTGTACTATGCCTAATATGTAATGTAAATATGCAAAAATGATCAATAACATGGAAGAAATGTAAAACTTTTATTGTAAAGTAGGCCAAATATGAGAATGAGCTTTCGCTTTACAGCATCATCAGATTCATGATGATGCTGTAAAGCGAAAGCTCATTCTCATATTTGGCCTACTTTACAATAAAAGTTTTACATTTCTGCCATGTTATTGATCATTTTTACATATTTATATCTATTCATCATGGCAAAAAGCACCATCGCACATATTAACCCTCGCCCGTATTGGTGTTTTTTTTTCCAGCCGCGAACGTATAAGGGGGGGGTCCGTTGGACCCCCCTTGCCGTTTCGCCCCTGATCGAGCTAGAGCTTCGCGGAAAAAAAACGAGCGTGTTGCCCGTGACGAGAAGAAGCCGATGCTACCCAATTTTAAGGTCCTAGGTCATTGGTTGACCTTGCAGGTCAGGTCAATGACCCAAAAGTCGGGAAAATCGGGACCTGTTAGAACGTCGTAAAGTGTGGCTGCTATGGGGTTTTTCGGGGTGCTGATTACGAATATCATGTTCGTTTTGATCACAGATGATGTCTTCTTCATGCATTTAGGCCAGGTCGGGTCAGGTCAGGTCAGGTCAACCAGTAAGGGTATTCGTAGTAGGTGGCAACCGCCTCTAACAGCTTCGTAACATGTTACGAAGGCACCAAAACTACTTCGTAAATGTTCATATGGTTGCTAAATTCGAATTCAGCTCCAAAAACTGGTCTAGAAACATGTAAAACTCGAAAAAGTGAACAAAGGTCATCAAAGGTCAATGACCTGACCTGACCTTCAGGTGACCTTGACACCCACCCTAATGCATGGGGGCAACAGCATATCACATGTTTGAACGCTTGAAACCACGAAAAGACTGCAAACGCGCGGCTAATGCGAGCCGACATACGCCGAATCGCGATTCCGGCCAAACATGGTCTCGAAATGTAGGTCACAGGTCAAAGGTCATTTGGGTCAGGGTCATGAAATTTTCAGGGTAGGCGTAAAATTGATGAATGCGAGGGTACTGAAAGTTTCGTCGCGATCGGCCGCTTTTTACGCGAGTTATTTGCGAAAAACCATGGGGGGGGTCCGTTCGACCCCCCTTCCCTATACGGGCGAGGGTTAATAATGTAATGTCATTGAGAATGTGTTACGCAACACGAAACGTCTGGCGCACAAGTTTTATTTGTCTTTCTCTCATGAGTTTCGGAGCGATTCTCTTTCAGCATAAAGAAGATGACAAGAGACTGATTCGCAACATCGAATCCCTACACAAAAAGGTCATAAATGCAGCTATCCGTCTTGTTCAATGAAACCTGCCTATCTAATAATCTGCTTCCGAGCTTCTCAAATATATATATATATATATATATATATATATATATATATATATATATATATATATATATATATATATATATATATATATATATATATATATATATATATATATGTTAAAGGGAGTTTGAGAAATCCGTGAGTTTGCAAACTCCCTGAGCCATCAGTGACTTTGCAAATTCACTAGGGAGTTTGCAAACTCACTGACCGGTCAGGGAGTTTGAGAAATTCCAGAGCGATTGGGCCAAATAAAATCAAATGTGTAAGATGAGGTTGTTGTTGTTGTTGTTGTTGTTGTTCCCTCCGGCCCCCCCTAGGGGGGCGTAGCCAGACGGCTCAGTTGGGCTCGAAAGCCGGCGGCCAAAGCCGCCACCACGCCGTCGTCCTGTAGCTCGGTCACCGTAGGGTGGATCGTGCCCACTCGTGCCAGGCGGCGCCCCGCCAGCGCCGGACAGCGCAGCAGGACGTGCCGCGGAGTGTCAGCCTCCTCTCGGCACACACGGCACAACGCGGCCGGGCACCTCACGGAGCCGCACTGCTCGCATCCAGGCGACGGTCGAACTTCTGGCGCACGAGCGCACCCGTGCCGCCGCCCCGGCTCGTGCCCGAGGCCTGAGTGCGCCTGTGCCGCCGCCAGCCCGCCCCGGTCCGTAGCTGAGTGCGCCTGTGCCGCCGCCAGCTGATTGGGCCCGCCGGACGACAAGACTGGCGCGGATAGGCAGAGACGACGCATGCCATTACGTTTGTTTACTTGGTGATTAACGTAGCGACTCAGGAAAGAGTGCTCGGAATAAATCTCGTTTAACTCATTAAATACAACTCTTTCATTCGGACCGACCGAAACACAACATGGCGCGATCGGTATTGTGATTATTAAGTGATTGAGTTTTAAAGTATATAGACATGAGTGAGAACGAGAGTGAGGTGCAGACACTATCGGCCCTGCTGCGGAGGCAGGCCGAGCTATCAGCCCAGCGTGAGGAGCGCCTGACGAGCATGATGGAGAGCTTGATGTCAAGGGAGCTCTCCACGGGAATGGGAACGGACACGACTACCGACGCGGCGGGGGCTGAGCGAGGCGCTGACGGCCGTTCCACCACCGCCCGCCCAGCCGTCCGCCTGCCGGCTTCGGCGACCCCGGCTCCGTACCTGACCTCTTCAGCCTTACTTCGTGAGTTCACCGTATGGACGGAGAAGGTGAAGGGCTATTTTCTGCTGACCGGAGCCGGTGAACTACACGTGAAGGGCCAGCGCGCCGCGCTGCTAAGCTTGCTAGACGAAGACTGGCACCGAGTAATCCGTTTCGGGCTCGACCTGACTGAGGACGCGACCCCGGACACCGTCATGAACGCCATGGAGGGTCACCTGCGGAAGCAAAGAAATGTGCTGGTGGACCGCAGAGAGTTCTACGGGCGCGTGCAGGAGCCAGGCGAACGCTTCGACGAGTTCCTGTACGAAATAAAGGAGCTCGCTTCATTTTGTGACCTCTGCGAGCATTGCAGTGACTCACAGATTCGTGATCGCATTGTCTGTGGTGCGCGTGACGAAGACGCTGTGAGGCGTATGCTTGAGGAGCCCGAGCTAACGCTGAAACGCGCAGTGGACATTTGTCGCGCGAGTGAAAATTCACGGAGCACATGTGAAGACCTGCGCGGCAGCGAGGGCTACTCAGTGGCACGCCTGTCAGCTTACAGGCGGGGTCGCAGCCGGCTACGTGCCGCCCCTGCCGCCGCCGCGACCTCCGACCGGCAGCGGTCGGCCCAGCGCTGCCCAACGTGCGGCCGCCGGCCACACGCCGACCCAGACACGTGCCGCGCCGCCAGCGCCATCTGTCGAGCGTGCGGCGAACTGGGACACTTTGCAGCGGTCTGCCGCCCGGTGCCGTCGGACCACACCGTCGCTGCTCCAGCCGGTGGCACCCCGCCGGTCCCCGCCCGCGGCCCGCCGGCGCACAGCGCCCGGCGAGGGCCGCACGGGCGAGATATCCAGCGAGTCATCGCGGACATACATATCAGCGGAGTCTGTACTCGTCCCGCGCCTACAGTCGAGATTCAGCTGATGCACCAGGCCGGGAGCAGCACGCTGAAATGCACGCCGGACACAGGAGCTGAAGCAACAGTCATGGGCGACGCCGTGGCTCGGTCGATCGGCATCGATCTCTCCCAACTGGAGACCGACCACCGGGCCAACTTCACCGCCGTTGGACAGCGCCCGCTCGACTGTCTCGGAGCGTTCGGCGCAGCGCTGAGGCTGGGTGACCGCTCCGCTGACGCTACCGTCTACGTCATCAGCGGACTGACGGGGACACTGCTCAGCTGGTTCGATTCGGTCGCCCTGGGGACCCTGCCGGCGGACTTCCCTGCCCAGATCCCGAACGCGACGCAGCACAAAACAGATGGTCGACAGGTAGCGACATCTACGATAACCGACACGCCGACGGTGGCGCCCGTGGCGGTTGCCGCCGGCAACGCCGCGCCGTCGCCGGCAACGTGCTTGCCGACATGGGAGGAGGACGGCGACCCGTCTGACGAGATAATAGCCGCCCATGCAGCCGCGATCGTGACCCACTACCCCCGGGTATTCAGCTCGGACGGTCCGCTGCGGGAGATGGACGGAGGATCGATGGTAATCGAGCTGCGTGAAGATGCCACTCCAACGGCCGTCACCGCCGCCCGTCCAGTGCCGTACGCCTGGAGAGCGGATATCAAGGCCCAGCTGGACGAACTGCAGGCCCGTGGTGTCATTGCACCAGTGGACTACGCCACCGAGTGGTGCCACCCGATGGTCGCTGTCGCCAAGCGGCCGTCCGGAGTGCGACTGTGTGTCGATCTGACCCGGCTGAACCGGTTCGTAAAGCGGCCTACCTACCCAGTACGGCCTCCGCACGACGCTGTGGCCGACATCCCGGCCGGCAGCCGCTGGATGACGACACTGGACGCTGCCATGGGGTACTTCCAGGTACCGCTCGCCGAGCCGTCTTAAGATTTGACGTGTTTCATCACGCCCTGGGGCCGTATGAAATTCCTGCGAGCGCCACAGGGGTGCGTGTCCGCCGGGGATGAATACAACCGGCGCGGTGACACGGCCCTCGGTGATATTCCGAACACGGTGAAGGTGGTGGACGACCTGCTGGCGTACGACGCCACCTACCGGGACCATCTAGCGCACGTCCTCGCCGTGGTGCAGCGCTGTGAGGAACGCGGTATCACTCTGAACCCCAAGAAATTCGTGTTCGCCAGGCACGAGGTGAACTACTGCGGCTACCGTATCACGCCGGACGGATACACCTCAGATGGGGAGAAGCTTCGAGCCATCGCCGACTTCCCGAGGCCCGAGAACGTGACCGATCTGCGATCGTTCATGGGTCTGACGAACCAGCTCGGTGGCCTGTCATCGGAGCTCGCACACGCCGCCCAGCCGCTTCGAGACCTACTGAAGGCGCGCCATCTCTGGAGCTGGACGGCTCAGCACGAGGCGGCCTTTCTGCAAGTCAAAGCAGTGCTGGCCGCGCCACCCGTGATGGCGTTCTTCGATCTGAGCCTGCCAACTATACTGCAGACGGACGCCGCCCGGACCAAAGGACTCGGTTTCGCGCTGCTTCAGCGACACGGCGACGACTGGCGGCTCGTGCACTGCGGCTCCCGGTTCCTCACGGACACCGAGTCACGATACGCCGTGGTGGAGATCGAGCTGGCCGCCGTGCTGTGGGCGTGCCGGAAATGTCACATCTACCTCGCCGGCCTGCCGCAATTCACACTGATCGTCGATCATCGGCCGCTGGTACCGATTCTGAACCAGAAGCAGCTGAGTGAGATCGAAAATCCTCGCCTGCAAAGGATGCGTGAGAAGCTGACGCCATACTCCTTCACTGCCAGCTGGCAGAAAGGATCCGAGCACCAGATACCAGACGCGCTGTCACGCGCTCCAACCAGTGACCCGACCGCCGATGACGAGGCCTCAGAGGAAGCAGAGGACACGCTCCACGCGGCTGTGATCGCAGCCCTGCACGCCGAGCAGCAGATGGAGGACGGTGCGCCATCAAGCTCACGGATAAGGAGACCCTGGTGGCGGAGGCAGGCCTCCCTCCGCTATCACTCCGTGCCAAGGAGCTAGCAGCCGGCGAGTACGCGCGCATAGTCCGTCTACCTCCGGGAGACCCCGCTCGCAACCTACTGGACAAGACACCACCACCGAGACTCCGCTACCGGGCCCACGAGGCATGGAGGCGCGCGGTGACGTCTGCCGAAGAGGCGGGTCTGCCACCGCCGCCACCGGCAGACGAAGACGCGACCCTCTCATTCAAGCCATGCTTCCGTCGGGTCGGTAGGTGGGTCTGCGACAGGGCGGGCTTGAGCGACCTCCCAGTGGAGCCCCTGGCACTTTACCAGGGCGCACCACCCTGGCACCACTGTGGAGACGCCGTCCGTTTCGTGCTGGACCTGCCGCAGCCCACAAGGAGGACAGACCTGCCGGAAAAGAGAAAGGAGGCGGCGTTAGCGGCGCTGGCCCTCGTCCCCGATCCAGACTGTACCATCTGGTCGGACGGATCCGCCAAGGAAGGCACCATCCAAGGCGGCGGTGGAGCGATCCTGGAGCTTCACCGCGAGGGACGCACAATAGAGTGCGTGGCACCGGCCGGTCGAGTGTGCAGCAGTATGAGGGCGGAGCTGGTGGCAATGACGGAGGCCCTGACGTGTCTCCATGAGCTACCGGCCCCCTCTAAAGCACTCATCAAGAGAGTGCTGCTCTGCACAGACTCCCGGTCGGGGCTCCAGCTACTTAGCCGCGGCCCGGACGACCAACAGTCGGCCATCGGTCAGCGCGTCTGGGGCCTAATAGACGCGCTGACAGCCGCAGGGAAGGATATCACCCTGCACTGGGTCCCGGGCCACGCCGACCTCGCCGGCAACGAGGCAGCCGACCGCCTCGCCAATCAAGCCGCCGCCGACTGCGCTCAAGAGGAGGCCCCGATCGACCTCTCCAGCGCGCGGACAGCCATCCGTCGCTGGACATCGGAGCTGGCCTCCGCAAGGGCGCAGCGGCACCCACATCGAGAACCTACTCCGAGCCACGATGAGCTGGACAGGTGGGGCCAGGCCACCCTGTCCCAGCTTCGCACCGGCTGCCTGGTGGAGGCCGCCTCTTCGCGGTGGGCAGCAGAGTCGACGGAGGGTCAGCCCGACGTCGGCACCGGACCGGTTCCCCCGGCCCGGAACAAAACGGTCTCCAAAGCGCCCTCTCCGTGGGGGCTCCTGGCGGCGGCCACCCATCTGGCTGCCGCCGTGTCGTCGCGCCGATCTCACCACCCGTTGTGGACTCATCACCTACGTGGACACCCTCCCGATTCTTCCGCTCTGGGGGCAGCGTTACGCCCATCGGCAGGCCTGGAGCCGCGCGTCGCGCGGCTCGGCATGCTGAATGATTAGCGACCGGGCCGCGCCCCCCGCCGTGACCGACGGCGGCGGGGAGGCGCAAGGTGGTCGCCGGGGTAACCGCCATCGCCGTCGAGCCCGCAACCGCAGATACCGTCGCAACTGCGCCAGGAGAAGTCTCCTCACCGTCATGGTATGGAACGCGGAGGGCCTCCGCCCGAAGATCGCGGAGCTAACCCCCTGGCTTTCCGAGGCGCAAGTCGACGTCATCGCGATACAAGAGGGCCAATTCCCTAAGACGGCTCCAAGGATACCCGGCTTCCAACCCCCGGTCGTAACACGCCGCACAAGAGGCAGAAGAAACGACGGCCCCGTGAAAGGAGGAGACGTCGCAATGTACGTCCGCGACAGTCGCAACTTCACGGTCCTGGACGGCCCCTTCAAGCCCGGTGTGGACGACACCACCGAGATATGCGGCGTGCGCATCCTGGGACCCCTCGAACTCGACCTCATCAACATCTATCGCCCGCCCATCCGCTCAGATGAGTCGGATGAGAGACAAGACCTGTTCGACCCGACACACCTGCCCAGCGGCGACAGCACCATCGTCGCCGGTGACTTCAATGCCCACCACCCGCTGTGGGACGCGGACTGCGACGAAGCGGACGAAGTCGGCGAGAGGATAGCGACCTGGCTAGACTCTATCGGCTGGACGACCCTCAACGACGGCCGACCGACGTTTACCAGCTACCGCTCCGGGGGCCAGACAGCACCGGATGCGGCGTTCTGCAGTCCGTCCCTAGCGCGGCGGACCAAGTGGAGCATTGGCCCCGACCTGGGCAGCGACCATCTCCCGATGCTCCTGGAGATCCGGACCGGCGGTGCGCCTCCGAAGATGATCCGGAAGACCCGCTGGTCGTTCAAGAAGGCGGACTGGCTGACGTTCCAGGAGGAGTGCGAGGCTGCCTTTGCGGAGGCGGGCCCGGAGCACGAGTCCGTTCAGGAACTGGCCACCAGATTCCACCAAGCGCTGGAAGAAGCAAGCGTGCGTCACATCCCTCGGGGAGCACGCAACCGGCCACGACCATGGGCCCTGGATCCAGAGCTGAAGGAGGCGGTCGACGCCAGACGCGCGGCGCGGCAGGACCTGAGAAGCGGGGACCGTTCGGCCAAGGAACGCTGGGTGGAGGCAAAACGCAGAGCAGCATCTGTGGAACGACGTGTCTCCCAGAGACAGTTCAGAGAATATGTCTCCACCACCCTCAACAAACATCAGAGCCTCGGCCGCGTCCACAAGACGTTGAAGATGTGGGAGGGTGCTTCCGACGACCAGCACAGAGCCGCTGAGTCGATGGAAGATGGCGACCGGACGCTCGTGTCGGACCGGGACAAGGCGAACGCATTCAACCGCACCTATGCGACCGTATCGAAGCAGGTGCGGGACCGGAAGGTGGACCGCGACACCAAAACCAGACTGAAGGCGTCCAACGTCAAGACGTGCCATGAGTGCTGGGGGCGGAAGTCCGGCTACTGCTCACCGTTCTCCGAGGAGGAACTGACGCGACAGATCTCGCAGGCGCAACTCAAGAAGTCGCCAGGCCCAGACGACCTGTGTAATGAGCACATCAAGCACCTGGGCCCGAGAGCGCGCGAAGTCCTCCTTCACCTCATCAATAGCTCGTGGCAGTCCGGCGTGGTCCCGCGGGAATGGCGGCGCGCTGTTATAGTGCCCATTCCCAAGGTGGGAAAGGACCCAAGGAAGATCGCGAGCTACCGGCCCATCGCGCTGACGTCCCACGTAGCCAAGCTGGCCGAGCGGGTGATCGCGACCCGCCTGTCACACCTCGCCGCCGAACGCAACATGATCCCACCTGAACAAGTCGGATTCCGCGAGAAGCGGGGCGTCGAGGATGTCGTCGCCCGGCTAACTCAGCAGGTCCAAGATGGATGGCAGCTCAAGCCGTGCCCGCCATCAAGACGTCAAGTCCCGGACGGAGAAGCAGCCCAGAAGTATGTCCTTGTGGCATACGACTTCTCCCGCGCACACGACCGGGTCGACTACCGTCTTCTGAGGGCGCGTCTTGCAGAGTTGGGAATCCCGGCCTGCTACAACACCTGGGTGTGGGCATTTCTTCGAGACCGGAGGGCCTGTGTCGAAGTCAACGGCACGAAGAGTGGCGAGCGCGTGTACAGGGCGGGCCTGCCGCAAGGCAGTGTCCTCTCTCCGACCCTGTTTCTGTTATGGTCGGCGCCGCTCGTAGCAACGCTCAAGACCCTGCCCGGCACAACCCCATTCATGTTCGCCGATGACACCTCGACGCTCTGCGCCGGCAACTCCATCGCCGTGGCCCGGGACCGGGCGCAGCTGGCGGCCAACACGCTCGTGAAGTGGGCCCGCCGGAGTAAGATGGAGGTCGCGGGTCAGAAGACGCAGCTGCTCGTCCTCTCCCAGAACCCCCGAGACGCCGTCGACTGTCACATCCACGTGGCGGGTCAACTGGTGGAAGGGGGACCTGAGCTGAAACTTCTGGGAGTGACGCTAGACAGGACGCTGAGCTTCGGCCCGCACTGCAGAAGTCTCCGTCGGCGCGTCCGGCCCCGAGCGGCCCAACTCCGACGTCTCACCGGCCGCAGCTGGGGGTTGCAAGAACAGCAGCTGCGCGCCGTCGCAAACGGCTACGTGCGCGGCGCGATAGAGCACGCGGCTGCTGCCTGGCTGCCGGCAGTGTCCAAGTCCAACATCGAGATCCTGGAGCGGGAGATGCGCGCCGTGGCGAGGATCGTCACGGGCTGCATACACTCCGCACCACACCACGGTGTGACGGCCGAGGCTGGCATGCTGCCTGTCGCGGCACGACGTACTGCGCTAGCGGCGCGTATGTTCGCGAAGGCTGCCGCGCTCCCGCCAGAGGACCCCCTCCGAGCGGTCGCCATGGCTGACCCCCCTCAGCGCCTCAAGCTGGTCACGGGGTGGCGCCAAGTAGGCCGGGAGGCCCTGCGGGAGCTACGGGTCGAGCTGCCGGTTGAGGCCCTACTACCAGAGCGACCGCCACCGTGGACGCCCACCGGCAAGATCACCTTCAACCTGAGCATTGGCGCGCTGCCCGCCGGTGCGGCGAGGTCCACGAAGAGAGACGCGGCGCTCCATCACCTGGCGTCCATGACGCAGTGCGCGACGTGGGCGTGGACCGACGGCTCGTCGAGCGGCGGGATCCTCCGCGGGGGGGCTGGCGCCCTCATCGTCGGAGCTGATGACAGCCGCACCGAGCTCCGTGTCCCAGCGGGCACACTCTGCTCCAGCTTTCGAGCGGAGATGGTCGCCCTGCAGGTGACGCTGGACCACATCCTGGAACACCAGCGGGACGCACCAGAACCAGTCGTTATATGTACCGACTCGCTGTCGGCGATAGCGGCGCTGAGAGAGGGTCCGTCGGCACAGCGCTCGGCCAGAGGCGCTGCCATATGGAAGCAGCTACTGGAGCTCACCGCCGGAGACCGAACGGTCACCCTCCAGTGGGTTCCATCCCACTGCGGGATCCCAGAGAACGAGTCCGCCGACGCCCTGGCAAACGAGGCTGCGACGCTGGCACAAGAAGACGTCATGCTCGATGTAGACACCATCTACCGAGCGGCAGTCCGCACCGCCAGAGACCGCGCCGCAAGGGACAGGCCGACATACCCGGACCCCGACCGCAAAGCCGCAACGGGGTGGTACAGAGAGCTTATGGGTGCAAGATGGCCACCACCTCTCACCAACATGGACAGGACGACAGCAGTAGACGTCCACCAGATCCGCACTGGGCGCTGGAGCGGCTCGGCGCAGTTTCTCCATTCCATCGGACGAAACCCATCTGCGGACTGCCCACAGTGCAGGAACCTCGACTGCCCTGCAGCTCGTTGCCCGCTGTGCGGCGAGCAAGCCGACACACCTCGACACATCCTGCTGACCTGCCCGGGACTGATGGGGGTTCGCCTCAGAATCCCGGCGGTCGGCAACATACTGCCGACGGTGGAGGAGGTCAGGCGCGGCGACACGGTGGCGGCCCTGGTGGCCGCCTTCAGGGCCCTCCAGAGCTGAAGCTACACCGCGGCTCTGCCGCGGATGGAGGGAAAACCAACAACAACAACAGCTTCGCACCGGCTACTGCCCACTGGTGCGAGCCACAGCTCATCGCCTCGGCCTGGTCGAAGACCCGACCTGCCGAGCCTGCGGCGAGGAGGAGGAGGACGTGGAGCACCTCCTGGCCGGGTGCCCTGCACACGTGGCGGCGAGGGCCGGCTTCTGGGGGCACTGTCCGACCCTGGCGGAAGTGCTCTCGGGGCCGGCCCAACACATCATCAGTTATCTGAAGAGAGTGGGGCGGGTGCAGGTCGCCACCGACCCGCCCCCGCCGGCCGCGCCTTAAGGCGCGGTCCGCGACCGCGCAGAAGAGAGAAGAGAGAGGACGGTGCGCGCCTGGCGCCGCTCGTAGATCCCAGCCTGGAGAGGATCCGAGCCGCCGCCGACCGCGACCCCGAGTACGAGTCCCTGCGAGAGACAATTCTGCACGGATTCCCAGAGCACCGGCACGAGGTGCCCCCCGCTGTTCGACCGTACTGGAGCGTGCGGGGCATGCTGGCGCTGGACGGTGGCCTGATCGTGTACGGCCCCCGGCTGGTAATCCCTGCCCGCCTCCGACGAGACATCCTCGACCGCCTGCACCAGTCGCACCAGGGCATCGAGAGAACAAAGCGCCGCGCCCGCCTCTGCGTGTACTGGCCGGGTATCGACCGTGACGTCACCAACGTGGTGTCATCCTGCCCGCGCTGCCGGCAGCTGGTGCCGAGCCACGCCAACGAGCCGCTGTGGCGGGAAGACGACCAGCCGAGCCGTGTGTTCGAGTCGGTCTCGGCGGACTATTTTCATGTCGCCGGCCGGACGTATCTGGTGTATGCAGACCGACTGTCCGGCTGGCCGTACGTGACCATCTGCCCTCGGACTGCATCGGCAGAGCATCTGACCCGCGAGCTGCGCGCGCTGTTCGCCCAGACTGGAGTACCGACAGTTCTGCGCACGGACGGCGGACCGCAGTTCACGTCTGGAACTCTGCGCCGCTTCCTGGGCCGCTGGGAGGTGCGACACGAAATATCGTCCCCACACTACCCGAGGTCTAACGGCCACGCCGAGGCGGCCGTAAAAACAGTGAAAAAGCTCATCATCACGGCGTCCACTGGCGGCCGGCTGGATGACGAGCAGCTGAGCCGGGGACTGCTGGAGCTAAGGAACACGCCGCGCGCGGACGGACGGTCTCCGGCGCAGGTGCTGTTCGGACACCCGATCCGGTCGTGTGTGCCGACCCACCACCGTGCGTTCGCGCCCGAGTGGCAGCGCGCTGCTGCTGAGTGTGAGCTGAAGGCCGCTGTGAACCGGGAGGCGGCGACGACCCGCCATGACGGGACGGCCCGTCCCCTGTCCCAGATGCGCATCGGCAGCCGTGTTGACATCCAAGACAGTGACACCGGCCGCTGGGACCGCCCCAGTGTAGTGGTCGGTGTCGGGCAGCGCCGCACCTACCTGGTGAAGACGGGAAGCGGAAGAGTCCTCTGGCGGAATCGGCGATTCCTCCGTCCCTACCGGCCACTGCTTGAGACTGGAGGGCCACCCGCCGCTGAGCCGCCCCGCGCGGCCGCAGATGGCGCAACGCCCGGCGAGTCCGTCCCCGCCACCGTCGGAGCAGCCGCACCGCGGCCGCCCCCGCTGCGCCGGAGCAGCCGTGCGCGCCAGCCCCCCGATCGCTTGTCCGTGCGCTGGGGTGGTGTGACCTATTCTCCGCAGTGAAGACGACCGCAGTCGTCTTGGGGGGAGATGGTGTGTTGTCGTGTGTTTCTGGCGCACGAGCGCACCCGTGCCGCCGCCCCGGCTCGTGCCCGAGGCCTGAGTGCGCCCGTGTCGCCGCCGCCTGCCCCGGTCCGTAGCTGAGTGCGCCCGTGCCGCCGCCAGCTGATTGGGCCCGCCGGTCGACAAGACTGGCGCGGATAGGCAGAGACGACGCACGCCATTACGTTTGTTTACTTGGTGATTAACGTAACGACTCAGGAAAGAGTGCTCGGAATAAATCTCGTTTAACTCATTAAATACAACTCTTTCATTCGGACCGACCGAAACACAACAGTACTGCTCCGAGCAGGACCAGTGGCCGTAAGATGTAAGATGAGGTTGGCATACGTGCCGTCCGTGATGTTAAAACAAAAGCGACTAGTGGTACGGTCTATAAAACCGTCGCACGCTGACAAAAAGCTTTGACAGATCCTTCATTGTTTTACAGAAAAAAATGCTACTCGCGGCTATGTAAAGGGGAGGTTCGGAGCAACGTGCTCCTCCGTTCCGTCGTTTCCATCCTCAGGAATCAGGATACTGAAATCCTTCTCGTCCACGCCGAAACCCCCACTCCGGGCTGGACAGGCACCTTTATAACATGCGGGCTGCTCCCGAGGGAGCGCACCCCGTAGCCGGGTGCAGAGAGTGCTTGGGGGGAGGGGGGTTGGTCGGTCTGTCCATTCGGAATTCATGGGTGAAACTTTGACATCACCATTGGGGTCCCAAACGTCCATGAGGGCCTCCATTTAGTGGGGGCCTCCAAGCAATTAGGGGCCTCCAATTGCGGAAGCGGTAATTTACGAGCCACGCCAGGGCCTCCTCTAAGAAATTTTCACTGGGGGACCAGAGGCTCAGAAGCCAAACCTAGGGTACCCCCAAATCCAGTTTTATCATCGGATTTAGGCCACTTATTTTTCGTCACAGCCTGGATGCCATGAATTTTTTTTTTTTAATATTAACCCGCGCCCTGCTGGGGGTCCTGGATTTCCACGCCCTGCTGCGGGGGGGTGTGTTTGAACACCCCCCCCCCCTTGTAACTCGGCTCCTGGGCCACGTAGCGATACGCGGAAGGCGGCGTTCGAAAGAGCGTAAAAAATAATGACGAAATCACTTCGGTCAATTTTTTGGTCAGGTCAAAGGTCAGGTCACCAGAGGTCATTGAAGGCAAAATTTCGCCGATTTCCAGGTCGAATGTCGAAAACTTCCAAGAAGCCAACGCATAACTCGGGAACCAATAGACCTACAGCGCCGCGGAAAAGCGCATTCGATAGCCCTAATAACACCCTTTCTGAGCAATTCTCTCAGATTTGACCTAACGTCAACGGTTTTGCCTGCAGGGGGGCAAAAACTGCAAAAATAGCCGATTTTTTCGGAAACAGTTTTTCTGCAATAACATTTGACCCAAGCCTTGTACGAGCTTACTTTTACCGGCATCGTGTTTCTCTCGTCAAGACGCATCGAATGAACTTTAACTTGACCTTGAAAGGTCAACTTAAAAATTTGACCTCAGGTCAAGGTCATGACCTGACCGGAAAGGGTCATGTTGCACATCAGTCGATCCTTATCGTCGAGCTGAACACATCTAAGGCGTTTTCATCGCTCTAGTATGCCTCTATCAAAAGGTATTTGCGAAAAACTGTTAGATACCATTCGTGACCTAAGATGACCTCAGGGCATAAACAAGGGTCACGGACACCATTTTCATGTTCAGTGTGTCTAAACCACTTGTAATTCGGTGTTTGGGAGTGTTTATAATGTCTTTCATCCAAAAGAGGCGCATTTCAATTTTCTCCCATTGACTGATAATGGGGAGGTCGCAAAATTGACCTGACCTTAGGTCATCGATATCAAAATTCTGAGATATACATTTTTTACATGCTATTGCTCTTAGCATTCGCTGAAAGTTTCAAAACGATCGGTCACTGGGTGTAGCTATGACAGACATTGAAACTTTTTATGAGATGAGGTCACTTCAAGTGACCTGGTGACCTGACCTTGAATGACCTTGGTCTGAAATGTTCGTAACATGTGTAGAATTGAGGTATGATGTTGGGGGTGTTCAAACACCCCCCAGCAGGGCGCGGGTTAATAAAGAAATGGTAGTTCACCTGACCCATACTGGTGGATCCAGGCCAGCAGGGTGACATTGTATGTAAATATCCCCCGCGGCGTCCGAAATCGATGCAAATTTCTGGCTTCTTTACTTTCGACGATAAAACAAAATGCCTTTATTATAGAAAAAAGAATTTAATGGCACAGTATTGCGCAAGGAATCTAACCAATACCCCAGAAAGTGTGAGGCTTAACCCTCGCCCGCACCTGGGGGGAGGGTTGCCATCCCCCAAGTTAGTTCTTTCTGCTCTACACTGAACATTTTTAAAGCTAGAAACCCGGTGTTTGGATAGCTGCTTTTCTATCTTTTCTCAGCGTCCACTTTGAAAATTTCAAGTTTCTGTGGCTTTGGGGTTTGGAGATATGACCTTGTTCTTCAGGTCATGTCATGACCTAAATGAGGAATACCCAATACCTTGCGTTCAGGCTTCAGCGTTGGCTATGGGCCTTGTGAGCTTTTGACACCTTGATTTCCGCTTTTTTTTTTGCCAGTCTTACCTCCCGGCTCCCACCTATCATTGAACATATTGTTCTGCGATGTACAGATGTCAGGGTCAGGGTTAAGGTCAACCTAGGTCATCTAAAATTATTTTCGTGAAGTTTCTTTGACTGCATGTTTAGTAAAAGCTTCTCAGTTCATGATCTCATGTAATAAGGACACACAACCCAATCTGTGCACACGTCAGTACATACACAGACATACACAGACACACAAACACATATCATTGACCTTGACCTAACTTGACGTGAAATATGAAATATGACCACAGCCAGCAAATTAGTGGGATAGTGTGACAAAGAGCTGTTCTAGCTGGCTTGGTAATAATGCGGCAGCGTCATCGGTATATGATAGGTTGGCCCGCTGCTTGTGTAGGTATTTTATTCGACATCACCACAATTTATTCAAACAAGATTTTAAGCTTCTCGGTCAAGAGCAACAGATTCTTTGGGAAGAGACGAATCCAATGATACCAAATTTAACCTCATCAGGTCAGTCATTGACCTTCCAGGTCAGGTCAAACTAAAGAATGTTGCTGTTTGGGGTCACCGTTGCCCGTTGGAATATCACGTGCGCTGCTCATCATATACCGATGACGCTGCCGTATTGTGGTGCCAAGCCAGCTAGAACCTCTTTGTCACACTATCCGACTAGGTTTTTGCTGGCTGTGGTCATTTCAGGTCAAGTTAGGTCAAGGTCAATGATATGTGTTTGTATGTCTGTGTGTGTCTGTGTGTATACTGATGTGTGCAGTGTGCACCGATTGTGAATGTGTCCCTATAGCATGAGATCATGAACTGAGAAGCTTTTACCAAAAATACAGTCAAAGAAACTTCACGAAAGTCAACTCAGCTTGCCTAAAACGCAATATTTTTAGATGACCTAGGCTGACCTTGACCCTGGCATCTCTACATCATCGAACAACATGTTTCATGATAGGTGGGAGGTAAGACTGGCAAAAAGGCCGAAATCAAGGTGTCAAACGCTCACTAGACCCATAGCCAACGCAGGATTTTGGGCATTTGTCAGTTGGGTTATGACATCACCTAAAGAATAAAGTCATATCTCCGAAACAAAAAACCACAGAAACTTGAAATTTTCAGTGGACGCTAAGAAAAGATAGAGAAGCAGATATACGAAACATCCGGCTTCTAGCAATCAAAATGTTGAGTGCAGAGCAGAAAAAACTACCTGGGGGGGGGGGAGTGGCAACCACTGACCCCCCTCCCCCCATGTGCGGGCGAGGATTAAATAATTTGAATATCAGGAAAACAATTTATTCAAACAGGCATTCCAACAAAGTCCCGCTTTTTTATAGGTGACCTCCGATTTGTGTAGCCTTTAAGTTGCCCAGGGGGCCTCTTATTTGTAGGTATAGTACAGAGAACCTCCTACTTCGACTACTTGCACAGAGAGCCTCCTTTTTGTACATACAGCTAAGCTTCTACAGGCCGAGCGCCGGCCTCCTATTTGTGCGTACAGAGAGCCTCCTACTGTTACAGAGTCTATTTGTCTAGGGGGGCTCCTATTTGTCCAAGCGGCCTCCAATTCGTCTAGGGGGCCTCCTTTTTGTCCAGGAGGCCTCCCGTTTGTCCAGAAGTTCCCCTATTTATCCAGGGGCTTCTATTTTCCAGGGGGCCTCCTCTTTATCCAGGGGGCCTCCTACGTGTTCAGGGGCCTCCTATTTATCCAGGGGTCTTCTATTCTACCAGGGGTCTCTTATTTGTGCAGGGGCCTCCTATTTGTCCGGGGGTCTCCTACATGTCCAGGGGCCTCCTTTTTTGAAGGGCCTCCTTTTTTAAGGGAGCCTTCTATTTGTCCAGGGGGCCTCCTATTCGTACAGAGGGCCCCTAGTCCCCTATTTGTACAGGGGGCCTCCTATTTGTTCAGGGGGCCTCCTAGTTGTCCAAGGGGCCTCCTATCAGCGGGCCTCCTACTTATTCAGGGGCCTCCTATTTTTCCAGGGGACCTCCTATTGGTTAAAGTAGCCTCCTATTTTCCAAGCGGCCTCCTATTTATCCAGAGGGCTCCTATTTTACGGGCCTCTTTTTTATCCAGGGGGCCTCCTATTTATCCAGGGGCCTTCTATTCATAAAGGGGGCCTCTTATTTGTCCAGAGGGCCTGCTAATTGTCTAAGGGGTCTCTTTTGTGAAAGGGGGCCTCCTATTTGTCCAGGGGGCTCCTAATTGTCCAGGGGGCCTCCTTTTTTGAAAGGGTTTTCCTGTTTGTCTAGGTCTAGGGCCTCCTATTTGTTCATAGGGCCTCCTATTTTTCCAGGGGGCCTCCTAGTTGCAGAGGGCCTCCGACTTGCCCATGGGGCCTCCTATTTGTTCAGGGGGCTTCTTATTT